CACTTACTCCTCTGGCTTATATATGTGCTCTATGCAGAGGGTTTTTTATTAACACCATAGTGTGTCACATTATTGATATAATATGATGTTTTCTCTTTTCCTGATCTTCCCTTGTGCGGTTTTTAGTTTTTTCTTTGTTAAAGGTAGCACAACTGTCTCTGTTGCTGCATGACCTGTACACCTGTTCCCCCCATGTTTATCATGTGTCTTCTTGAATGGGTGTTCTTAACTGTTTGTACAGCACCTTGTGAATTTATTTCTGTGAAAGGCGCAATGTAAATAAAATTTTACTTACTTACTTACTTATACATGCCATGTTTTCTGAAAAAGAATTATGTGCTTTAAAGCAGATAATGTGAAAGCAATGAACCATCATGTTTGCATTTGAGTCACTGTTAGGACTTAGACTCTTGGAGCCTAATCTACTAAAGTTTTGCTTGTATAAAAACACATGCAAATATGGTCTTATAACTGAGTAATTGTGTCTGTCAAATGAGTAACTATAATATTAGTCACAATCCATTTAGAGTGTTTACCTTATTGAATATTCAGAATATATTATGACTATCAGACTGTGATAAATACTGGGAGGAGAATATGCAAATGTAATCATTTAGCAGATGCAGTATAATTTATCAAACCTGAAACTGCGGTTGATGTTCTTGCCTCTATACTTTTTTTTAGCACGTTTGCAAAGCAGGTGAAAACTGGCATWGAATGACACTCAATGATTTGTGCATGTGTCAACATATTTGGACTGTCAGAAATAAAAACAGTACAGACACATTGTCTATCCAGAAAAGACATTTTAGAACTGCTGGAGGACCAGTCACAAATATAAGTCATGCCTTGTCTCCAATGGAAAAACTCTTCACAACAGTGCTTTTTCTTGCATCTGTATCATTTGCCTCTTCCACTAAGGCCTCCAACTCTATGGCTTCAAACTTATTATTTTTTATGCCCACCCTCTTCATGGTGACAGCTATTAACACACACAAAATTCTTCTTTCAATAAGGTGGTGCACAACAATTTTTGCACCTGTTATCATTTGTGCATGCAATCTTAGTAGATCATCCACAACAAGCCTAATTATAATACATGCATTTTTTTTTTAGTTTGTACGTGCAATTTAGTGCTTGTTACTTGGGATCTTAGTGGATCAGGCCCTTAGATGTGCTTTTTTGTCAGTCGTATCAGCAGAGCATCTCATCCTCCGGGCTCCTCAGAGGGAACAGATCTGGCCTCAGAGATTCTGCATCGCTTCAGGAAGCTGCCAATGGACCACACCTGGACTGAGTCTCTGTACGCTACTCTGCAGTTCCCTGACAGGTAGGAGTCATAGCCACAGCTTCTTCTTCTTCAAAATTTCTGAAGAGTGATTAAAGATAACTACAGAATTTGGCCAAAAGCTTGATGAAAATGATCTACAAACATGTGGCTGAGTTGCAGTTTGTTTGTTTGTTGACAGTAATTTAGAGTCTGATTAGTTTAAATGTTGTAATTTATTGCACTGATCTTTGTCGCCAAGCAGTTTCACCCAAATAAACATATTTCATATTGCTGGTGTTTTAGCTACGGCAGAGAAGCAGCTCTATGTTTTCCTGCCATCCTCCGTCAGACACAGATGAAGCTGAATTGTTAGAATTCAGATCAAGGAAACAGCTCTATGATGGAGAGACTGAAGGAAGATCCTCCACAGAACAAAAAATCCATTAGTAATTTTGAGAAAATAAACTTGATTATAGTTATTTTATAAACACAACAAAAATTGTCATTGCTAGTTTTTGTTCTGTTGTTGCCAGTTTGTTAGAGAAACCAAACTGTGGAGTGTTGAATATTAAACATCTGCATCAGATGGAAAAAAATCTGATTCAAAATAGATAAATATGCACAATGTACAAAATGTGTCTGTAATGTCACATTATTAGGACAGCTGCTGATTCCGTGCACCAGACAAGGTGCCCTCTTTTTACATTTGAGCACCTGCCCCCGAAAATGTCTGTGCACGTTACTGCCTTACAATGTATGGAATGAATCAGGTAATTCATGCCCAAAATGAATGGTAGTCAAAATCTGAKTGCAACTGAATTAATAATAATAAGTCACACAGTATGAGAGTAAAATCGTTTCCAAGTGATGAATGACTTCAACTCAACAGAAATTCACAAGTTGGGAAACCATAGTTATGCATTAACTATTTGCACTATTCATTCTGACTTGACCCCTTAGTAGTCTGGAAGTTCATGTCCAGGAGCAATGTTCTGCTGGGTGTCAATAAACATAGTTTAAGGTCAATAGTAGTTCATGATTATTTTGGGCATTAATACAGAAATATTCAGCAAAATTGCTAAGGGGACTACAGTTAACAGCTCAGGTAAAGGTMTCRAGTATTATCTTTCACATTTTAAATTTGTTTATTTTGTTGCATTGAGTCATAAATTTTAGGTTTACCAATGATATGAAAACTATTTTAATGTCAAATTAAGTAAGATTTTTTTTTAATTATTTATTTTTGGTGGGCCAGACAGACGTCACCCCAGTGGGCCAAATGTGCTCTAGAGTTGCACAGTTTTTGGCCGTGTGTTCCAGTCTGCTCCAGGTGGTCATTGGGTTGTTTATTTAACTGTGTTTGTTTGTTTGTTTATTTATTTGTTTGTTTGTTGCAGGACTCAGAGAAGCTCCTTAGAGCTTTTGGACTCTGCAGGTCTAGTTTCAGAACAGATTCCTCTAAACCCGTTGGATTACTGTCCATACAGTGCCACAGGAAACTACACGGTGAGAGAGTGTGAYGGGACATGCCACTATTGTAAGCCCACGACTCAGTCATCATTACCCATCTGTGTACAGGGGGGTGTGGTGTATGCTAATTATGGCCGCCCAGAGGATTTCAACTGGCTGAAGAGTGTGGGCGTAGCTGTGGGTGGTTGTGTGGTGGTGATGCGTGTCGGAGGTGGAGTCAGCTTTGCAGAGAAAGTCTGGTTGGCTGAAAGGAATGGAGCGGGTGGAGTTTTGATCTACCCTGACCCTGCAGACCTGCCGCAGGACCCTCGCCGCCTGGGACTGAACTCACACACTGCTGTGTCAGAACATGTAATGCACACAAGCAAATACACACACAGATAAACTTAAACAGTTCAGACCAATCAACTTCTCTCCTTGTAGGTTCATCTGGGGTCAGGGGATCCCTTCACACCTGGCTTTCCCTCATTTAATCACTCTAAATTCCCACCCATCCCATCATCTGGCCTGCCACTAATCCCAGCTCTGCCCATCACTGCTACTGTGGCTGCCAAGCTGCTGAGGTAAATTCCTCCATCTCATCTTACYGGTTCAGGTGTGCTAGTTGTCTGATTGAATTCCCTTGTGTGTCAGCCAGCTGTCTGGTCCAGCCTGTCCTCCATCTTGGCGGGGTCGGTTGCCGTACGTCCGCTGCCTGCTCGGTTCAAACCTCACCTCCGGACACAGAGTCCGGATGATAGTCCACAACGTCATGAAGCCAGTCCTGCTCAACAACATCTTCTCCTCACTGGTGGGCCGCGTTGAACCAGGTACGCTCTGACCTCACAACACAAAACATCTCTGCCGCAATTGCAACCCATCCATTTCATCCCCAGACCAGTACATCATCCTGGGAGCTCAGAGGGACTCGTTGGGTCCAGGAGCTGTAAAGTCTGGAGTTGGAACAGCAATCCTCCTGGAGCTGGCTCGAACCTTCTCAACAATGGTAAAGAAAGGTAAGACTCACCTGGAAATGGGTGTGAGTATTAATTCCATTATTCTCACTAAAGTAGTTTTGGGTGTTTTTCAGGCTTTAGTCCCAGACGCAGTTTGTTGTTTGTCAGCTGGGATGCAGGAGATTTTGGGAGTGTTGGAGCAACTGAATGGCTTGAGGTTTTTGAATTAATAATATATATTATTAACCAAATCTGGTAAATCTTACTCACACTGACTTGTAATTATCAGGGTTACCTCCAAATGCTTCATCTAAAGGCTGTTGCATACTTTAGTCTGGACCAGGCCATCATGGGTAACATTGAGCTTTGAGTGAATCAACAGACTTTTATATTTCCCCAACCAAAGAGTGAAAAACAAAACAAAACAATGAAACATCTGTCTTTTTGTATATCAACAGGTGATGATATCCTGTCAGCCTACACCAGCCCTTTACTGGTCGACCTGCTGGATGCTGCCATCAAACAGGTGATTTTTACTTTAGGCTTGAATTTTCATAGTCTTATTTATCCCAAYATCTTCACAGGACAAACTATAAAATACTCTGCAAAACTATAAAAACTGGAGTTTCACAGGGTACAGTACTTGGATTTCCATACTCTACCTGTATCTGTACCTGCCTTACTCAGAAAAAGGTGAAGATTGAGATTTGATTTCCAAATGAAAAAAAAAGCTACTTGAAACTAACTACATAGGAGCTGCCAACGTCTTTGTGTGTCATTTTGCATATGAGAAGTTTTGTTTTGGGATTTCAGGTGGAGCATCCCAAACATGCTGGTCAGACCATCTACAGCCAGGCTGAGAAAGATGGAGGCAGCTGGAGAATGTGAGTAAGCAAATACACATATTGATGGTATTGTGTATCATACAGCACTTTGATGGGATCTCCATGACTGATAAGACCTTATTGCTGTTTCCTCTTAGTATGAAACCTCTGTATTTGAACAGCGGAGCCTACAGTTTCACTGCATTTGCAGGTGTTCCAGCCATGGAGCTCAGATTCACTGAGGTATATTTTACTGCAGTTATCTAAAATACAACACACAACATGGATACAGTTTACATCATGCAATAGGCATGTCAAATTACAGTCACCAGCCACTTTATTAGGTACACCTTGCTAGTACCGGGTTGGACCCACTTTTGCCTTCAGAACTGCCTTAATCCTTTGTGGCATAGATTCAACAAGGTGCTGGAAGCATTCCTCAGAGAGTCTGGTCCATRTTTACATKATAGCATCACACAGTTGCTGCAGATTTGTCGGATGCACATCCATGATGTTCCAYCACATCCCAAAKGTGCTTTATTGGATTGAGATCTGGGGTCAGATTTATAAAGCTTGCGTACGCACAAAACCAGCCCAGAAACTTGCGTACGCCACTTTTCACGCCAAGGTTGTGATTTATAAAATC